ATTTAGCATTTTAAAAGTTAATGTGAAGCATGTTGTACACCCAACTTTTCAGAAAATGAAGAGACCTATCTATGTTTGCTTCTCTGGTTGCAGGCAGTTTTGATCTGTTTGTGTGAAACCTTTCCTTTATTTAGTTAAGACCTTGTTCCAACAAATAGGCCTGGTGAATGTGAAGTATAAATAAAAATAAGCAAGCTTAGCTTTTAATTGACCATCTGCTTGACTCTAAATCAAATAATGTTGTGTTGGATGTATCTTGTTTATTGCAAACTAACACCATGCATCATGCAGATGCTGACAAAACAACCATAGCAGGTGATGGCCTGAATTGATAACTTCCTTTTCTGGAAATTGATTTGGGAATACCATTTTCTTTTTCCTTGCAGCCATATACACAGGTTAGAGGCATAGTTTGCTTGTGTAAAGGTTGATTATTAACCAAATGCTGGTGAAGGGCTATTTCTGTTTGTAAATTATTTTTACATTCAGACTTCATTATCTTACGTTTCTAGACCTACTCAAGAATTTAGTAGTGGTACTGTATCAGTTGTGCATCTCTTAATAAGTGTACAATATTATAAAATACCTTCATCATTTTCAATGGGTTTTAAGTAAATCAATTGTATTTTTTTGAATTAAGGAATTTTAGTTTGCATGCTGGCACAGTTACGCTCTCATTGTTTCTGCAGTGCAACGTTTATTGATTCAACACCAATTAAATAAAGGAACATCTCAGTACTTAATGAGAAATGGAGAATTCAGAAGTAACCAAACCAACCTCTGAGAGAGGTTATAAAGAGAGATAGGAGGCCTTTTGATTTCTGAAAGTAGGGAGTAATGTTTTGCTAGTTGATTCCAGAGATGATGAAGGTTCATACCTTGCCTCCTTCAAGGCACATCTCAAGACCCTCTTCTTCAACTGCACCTTCAGTGACCCTCCTACTCTCCCTGACCCTCATGCCCCTGCTCAGGTCCAAATCCCTGACTGTTCAGCGCCTTGGGACATCCTCTCAACGTGAAAGATGCTATACAAATGTAATTTTGCATTGTATTATGATGGTAAGTGGAGCATGAGCAGTAAATCCAAATGAGAAGAGCAGAGAATACAAGCTGTCTGTGGGGCTAGAGATTACCCATATTAGGGTAGAGAGACCATGAAGGAATTTGAACCCCAGAGGGGAACTTAGTGGAGCTTAATAAGGGCGACAATGTTTATTTATTGAGCATCTTTTGAGCACAGGCGTGATGGGAATGTGGGACCTTTTTGTGGTATCGGACTATGGGGTTCTGGATGAATTGAATTTGTGAAGGGTGAAGCCAGTGAGGAGAGTGCAGAAGAAATCTGCTCTAGATGTTTTGAAGCCATAAATAATTGTTTCAGCAGAAGTGTTCGTGAACTAGGGAGATAAGTGGGCAATGTTCCAAAGGTGGAAGGAGATTGTGACAATGCATCACTTGTGGAGTTTGAAATTCAGCCCAGGATGACCGATGCACATAACCTGGGAGGCCATGTTTGGGTATGTTGTTTTTTCCCCAATATTAATAATAATTCCTACATGCTTCAGCTGGTGAATGTTTGACTGACACAAGAAATGACTAGAAAGGTTTTTTTTGGTAAATTACTAGCCAAAGATCTAACATTCACACACGTGAACAGCCTGCTTTACACATTCACTGTCCAGGATAGCTCTATTGTATCATCCCATTTATTCCTTCTCCACCTCCTGATTCTGACCCATGATTCTCTAGCTATATCTCCTTGACCTTTTGTTGTGGGTTAGTTCATCAACAGATTATGTGTACTGTATACCTCCTGCAGCTGTAGCTACTACAATAGAAGTCGCATCAATGTTCTAACATATCTGAAGTGACTTGTAAGCAAAGTAAATGCTATAATATAATTTTAGTATCACATACCAAGGTAAATTTTCAAATCATTATTGGAGTTTCTTAAATTATTACAGACACTGTTGCAAGTGGATGGACAAGCACAGTTTATTAGCATTTCATTTTCAGTCTTGAAGAACAGCAAAACAAAGATTTGCATTTTTTAAAAAATAGATAATTAGTATTACATGTCAAATTAACAGCAAAACAAACACTGCAGGTAAATTTAATGTGTTTCAATTAAAGAATAATGAAAAAAAGACATTCTCAGTTTCCTGTAGAAATCCCTGAATTATCTTATTTGTTTGAAATATTAGAACGTGGTAAATGTGATGTGTTACAATGTTAGCCTTGGTCCTTCATCCAGGTTTCCAAAAACAAAACCTAAGAGATAATTTGGTAATCTGTCGTGGCATTGGTCTTATTGTGCCTCAGGTGCAACCTGAAAGTAACATAAAACACTTGTGTACTGTATCAGTGACATATCAGCTGTTCACACAATCTGCCTGTCTGGTGTGCTTAAAATGTTCCATTTACATATTAATTCCATTTTTGTGTATTTTTTTTAATTGCCCTATATTGGAGGAGTGTTATATTTTGTATATCTTAATTGAGAAAAGCCTGTGACAGGAAATGTTCCAAACCTGTAACAAAATCACTAATTTGATATTCGCCTGAATTCTTATTTCCTATCTGTCTGTTGACTTTGTGAGTCCCTGGATTGGGAATTGACACAGTAACATCACATGACTAGGAAAGACTGTGGCACCATGTAATATAAGAAGAGGGTATTGTAGCAAATTTGATGTTAGACCTGGCATTTAGGAGCATCATGTGACAAAAAAGTAGAAATACTAGAATTTTACTAAAAACAATGTACTTTATAGTATTTGGTTGCCTTGACTTTCAATGTCTATCCTGTAGTAACATTTCAACTTATCACATGTGTTATCAGAGTCCCAACTTGTAACTTTAATGGCTTGTGGAACAGTAAGTTATCCACTGTTACCCTATACTCACCAACGCAACTCCAGTTTCAGGGATACCTACACCGTCATTTATTTATTGATGAAGAAAGTTAAGAGAAAATTGAAACCAGAAGCATCATATCATTCATTCACATGTACATGGCTATTTTAATTCTACAGTTAAAGAAGACCCAGGGAACAAAACTGTAATGCACTCCCCCACCCCTACCCCCCCCCCCCCCCGAGTACTTTACTGCTGCTTTAATTTCCTCTTCTGTCTTTGAACTTTACTTGGAAAACGATCAGCCCTTAACTTTTAACACTGGATATGAATTCAACTGTATTTTTCTCCCCACCCCCCTTCTAAATTGTTAATTGCACGCTTTCAAATTCCCATAGGTAATTTGCTTTTGTCTTGCATTCAGTTTTGATGAAAATTAATTAATAATAATCCTTGCATTGGATAAAGTGCTTTCCACGTCTTCGACGTCTCAAAGCGCTTCACAGAATAGACTGTAAAGTGAATTGACTATATTTGTGGGCGAAACGCGGCAGCCAATTGTGCACAGCAGCGTCCCACAAACAATCGTGGATTGAAAATGACCAATTTATTATTTCATATTTGCCATTTTTTCATGTACTCAATGAAGAAGCTCATCAATCTGAAAATAAACAGATTATTTACAGCAATGTTAGATGACCTACATCAATGGCACCAAAATTAATTCAAGAAATGAGCCACAAAAGGATCTTTTGTTTTAAATGTATTTTTCCCCCTAACTTACCTAGGATTTATAATTGGGCTATTACTCAATCATTCCTGCTTATGTCTCTTTAAAGGTGTTAGCCTGAGTCAAAAGAATGCGAGTTCCAGCCCCTCACTGAGACTTTGAACTCTCAGTTTAGTGCAGTAGAGTGCTCCATTTTTGGAGGTATTTTTCTTACGCAATAGAAATCAGGGTCCCTTCTATCTTACAGAATCTATGGAGAAAGGAAAGTGAGTCAACTCAAAACATGATGCTGCCTGACATGCTGAGTGTTCCCAGCGACTTCTGTTTTTGTTCCCTTCCATCTTGTCCAGATGGACATTAAAAGATCTAATGGCACTATTCGAAAAGAGTGCTTCTCCTGGTGTCCTGGCCAATAATCCCTCAAATAGAACAGATCATTCATTCAAGGCTGAGTGACATTTTGTGTGCAAATTGGTTACCATGTTTGCTTACAAAAATAGTTACAACACTTTACTGGGAGTCCTGTAAAGTGTTTTGAGACATGCTTCAGAATTTGAAAGGTGCTAGATTAAATGCAGTCATTATTAATAAGTATTATTTAATGGAGTATATATTGTATATGTGGGCCTAATTAAGAAAGTTCAAATATAGCTGGGTATAATTGGGAAATTAGTTATCATTCACAACAAACTTTCAGTTTAATGTTCTTAAAGATAAAAATTGTCACTTTATCATGTTGTAAATTGAGAATCTTAACCTGTGACATATTAATTAATATTGTGAAAAGTATTTCCTGCAATATTATGAGTAGTTCTTTTGTGGAAGTTGTACATTAAATTAGTGAATTATTTTACTTCCAGATATCCGTACCTTGAATGTTTCACGTAAAAACCTATGATTGTGCTCAGCAACATCCCACACAATAAGTGGTTATACTACTTTACACCTCTAGTTTACTTCAAGACACAATTAGTAGAGTAAAATGGCTGCTTTTCCCAGTTTTGGACTCAAATAAATTGCATCTTCCATTGCTTCTGTATAAGGGGTGTCTGGCCAATTATGAAAACTCAAATCAAGAAATTAGGCTGAGTAATTTGGGACGTTCTCCTGATGTGAAAGGCACTATACAAAAGTAATTTTGTTGTCGTTGCTGAAGTGTCATTCAACTTAGACCAAGTTCAAAGTCCTGATATGGAGCTTGAACCCACAACATTGACTCAGGTGAGAGTGCTTCCAACAATCATCTTGGCACACTACCTGATACCAAGGTTTCACTTTGTGAGAAAATATTTAAAGCTCTAGGGTTGAACTGTCTTATAAATATTTCATCTTGACAAAAGCAAACTGAAAATTTCTTTATATGTTGTTATGACTTGGAGACAGTTGTTTACGTAAACTTTGAATTACTTGCCAGGAAATTGCTCGCCATTTACGACCTAACAGTCTACGTGCTCTTTATGGAAAAAACAAGATTCAGAATGCAGTCCATTGTACTGATCTTCCTGAAGATGGAGTTCTAGAGGTAAGAAGACATTACTGTGGAGATATTGAGGGTAGTTTATATCTGGTACAAGTCATGGTCAAACTCTTGTGGAAATTAGGTCTCACTTTTGATTTTTGTATATAGTTCTGGTCACCACAACATAAGCACTGGAGGTGCTACAGAGAATAAAGATGATTCTCTATGTTAAAGGGATGAGCTATGAGGAATAACTAGAATAAGCCAGGGTTCTTCAGCCTTTCAAAGATGTCTCCAGAGAGAGTTGAGGTATACAAATTGCTAAAATGATTTAAAAAGATTCACACAATATTTTCAGAAACCCCAACGCAGCAGGACAAGAGGCCACAGGTTTAGGGTGGTGAAAATGAATAATTATAAAGTTCAATAGATTTGAAAGAATCTCTGTTGGGGGGTTTTGATCTTCACCTAAATTATTTGTTCACTGATTGCTAATTTGTAAATGGTAATCATTGTCCCAAGTTTTTTTTTAATGTTGAATTATAAAGTAATTCAGACCTCTTGCAAGTAATGTTATCAACAATCATGTGCTCTCAAGGGGTGGTGAAAATTACGGTAAAAGGAAGAAGTACTTTGCTAAATGTGCTGCAGTTACACAACATCCAGGCTTGCTCAACTTCACAGCTGGACATGTTCAAAGTTCTCAGAATTTAACTGTACTACATTGAGAATTGCCTTATCAAAACGAATTCACATTAGGAAAACATCCTAAAGTACTTCACAGGATATCTGTGGAGTGACGTTTGCAGGCACACACACATTTAGTGGGGCTACTGCCAAAATTACATTTTCTAACCCCATACAAACACCGACCAAAGGCCTTGACTTCAGAACAATCAGCTTTTAGCTGTGCTTTTTTGTAGCCAATTTTTATTTGCATTCAGATTTAAACATCTGCAAAAGCTGACAAATCAGGTTACACATTCAAACTTTTACTTGGCAGTAAATTCTTGCATTGATTCACATCAATTGGACCAATAAAACTGGAGGCAAAGTTTTAATTTGGCTTTATCCAAGGAAGACAAAATCATTACGTTAAAGATTAGATAAACAAGATAAGTATGTACCAAAGGGCATCAATGTTTAAACTGACTTCCAAACAGCCCCATGACATCCAATTACCTGCAGCATTCAATTTTAAATTCCATGATTCCCATTAATCATGCACAATGCCATTCATATACCTGCAATGCAGTAGTAAACCAGTGATTTTATGGTAGTGGAGGAAGAGAAACTACATTCAGGTTCTAAAAACCATTTCAATGACTACATTACAGAAATACTTGGGTACATTCAAGGTTCCAATCAATATCAGAGCTTTAGCCTATCTGATTTAATTTGAATCACTTGATTAATTTTTTTAAACTCCAGATTTTCTGAATTTTAGACTTCAGAAGTCAAGGTTTACATAAACAATACCTTGCATTATTAACATTTTTCAATCATTTCTTAGGTGCAGTATTTTTTCAAGATTCTGGACAGTTAAAGGAGTGGCAGATCAAACAGTACCTAAAATTGCAGAAAGTGTGCATCCATTTCAAGAATTGTTTTTCAAGACAATCAAGTTCATACGTTTTATTTTTCTGATGCTTTAAAACCAGATTAAATATGCACTTACCAAGAGTCCTGGACTCTTGATAAGTTTACAGATGTTACATTGCATTTGCACTTTTACACCATGAACACCATCCTACTGCATGGGATACTGCATTACTGCATCAAATAAAGATTATACAATTTTACCAGTGACTTTGGTATCTTTTATACATTACACTTCATTTGCAGAAAAATAAAATTGTACAACTGCATAAATATAAAATTCTTCCACCATGAAAATGGTTAAAACATTCATAAAGACACATCACCACATGTGATGCCTCCAGAGAACAAATTGTTTTAATAACTCACAACAGCTGCAATAGCCAGACTCAAATCTCACATACAGCTTCAACATACTGGAGGTTAAACAGATCTAAAGAGAAAGCATAATAAACCCATCACCTACACTAAAGTTGCTGAAAGAAAAAAAAGTGATGAATTTCTCCCCCCCACCCCCCCAAAAAAAACATAATCAAACTCCCTGGAGTGCAGTATGTTCATACACATGGGCATAAAAGATTAAGTACTACGCCAATTTTCATTATTGAGTATTTACAACTTGGAAAGCAAAGCTTGCTCACTTAAAAAAACTGCAACATGGATTGAAGGACCAAGTGAATGCACTACAGTACTGTACACTCAAACCCACAAGAGGCACAAGGCAGCAATACTCAGGGGACAGAAACACTGCTCGCTACACATCAGTAGTGGAATTATAATTTACAGTAATGGGCACACCCCATGGCTCAAGTAGTATCATTTACAGTAGAATAAATATGTACTGCTATTGCTACTTTTTACATTCTACTTAGATAAATGCAGAAAGCTAGTGTAAAGCATATAGATTAAGTGTCGGTCCCGTATGTATGACAGTTTGTTCAAGACTATAATTTTTGAAATGAGGTGCAAGTTCTAATTCGCAGTTATCAGCTATTCATCTCTATTTTCACATCAAAGCGTCCCTGGAAGCGATCTTTCTCACTGTAACCAATATTTTTACCATATGCCTTGCACTCTATGCGCACTGGCTCATTCATTGTGACGTTGGTAAACTGAATAGCAACCAAGGGCTGGAGGTAATTGGAATGCAGACGCTTGCCATAATATGGATAGTAATGCAGAGGAAAACCACCAAATCCTCCCATGCCATAATATTCCACAGGTCCTAATTTATCTTTGTCCTCTTCTCTCTGGAAAATAAAAACACACTTAGTTCAATCCACTTAAATTTTTTTGAAAACAAACAAAGGCATAGAGAGTTAAATGCACTGTCCTTTCAATTAATGAACCAGGATGTAAATTTAACTTAAATTGATCCAATTAAATGCTTTCTTTGGTTGGAAGTATTCCCCCTAAATGCAATTATACCATTTCTCGTTGTCAGAGCAAAAAAAAATATTTTATCAATTTCACTCAGATGGGCCATAGGACAGCTGGTGTGGGAAACACTCCCTTCCACTATACTTACTAATTGCAATCACACTGCTCCACTGTGGGAGGTAAGAATGGCTGAGACCCAATAATGTGGCAGAACCAGCAGACTGCAAAGTAGCACCACTATTTTCATCTAAAACAAATTAAGACTGGACAAGGTCAAGAAATGTGTGGAAAAGGTTCCAACTGTTCATCACAGAAACTTTAGTGGTGGTTTGTTGCATTTCAATGGGGATTTGTGTAACATTAAAATTGGCAAAAGAATTAGGGTAGCTGACAGTTACCTTAATTGGTTTTGAGTCCATCTCCAGAAACAAACTTAAATAAGTAGCAACCTTTAGATATCTTACAGTACCATTTTCAGTCCACAGATGAACAGAACATAGCCTTGAATGCAATTCAATATCACCTAACAAATACTCTCAAGAAATCCCTCAGTCAGTGAGATAGAAAACCTACATAACTTAATTTTCTCTGCTTAGACGTTTAGCGTTATTCTTTCAAATCACATTGAGCAGACTATTTTCCTCGTGCAAGAGAATTATATTTAATGGGAAGCAACTAGAAATGCCCAGTTTGCTCCATAAAAGACCATTTTAGCTAACTTTGAGGTAAGGTAAGCGGGGTTTCCTTGGAGCTGAACTTGCTAAAAGATGACATGTTTTGCAACAGAATGTCAGAATCAAGTCCATCCTCTACAATGGTCTCAACAGTGCAGTTCCTGAGCCTGGCGGGTCTGCAGTGCTCCAGGGCACTGCTGATGACAGCCTGGCTTATCAGCAGGACTTGAAAGGGTACACCAGACACTGGGATCAGGGACTCTTCCTACCCAACTCCCGTTAACCTTTGAAGCCAGACGATTCTAGCTGGACAAGCAGCTCCCCAAGCATTGGCTCCTACCAACATGTACTTAATACTTTCTGGAACTGGGTAAGCAATATGTGTCTCTCCAGTGAGTGCAGATATAATCCCAATAAACATCTCTGAAATTTCCATGTATACTTAGGATGCGTGGAACTCTGGTTTGGATACTCTTAAGCATGGTGATGCGTTTCCACATGTGTAGTGTCAAAGACACCCAAGTGACCAAAAAACAAAGCTCACTTTGCAGTATTTCCTATTGTGCTGTCAAAGAAAACCCTCCAAAAGTAGACAACTATGATTATTTCTGTTCTAGTTATGTTTTGTGGCAAGCACTCCCTTCTAATATACTGACTAACAGAAGAAAATAATGGAATTAACAATGGAAACTATTCCTGTAAACATATTTCACTGCTCCAGCGAAAAATTTAATGTCTAAACTGAAAATATTTTAACAATGAACATTTCAGTAGGTAAATCTGGAAAAAAATTCCAAAGACCTTGTGCGTGCACAAAGGCTATGACATAACAATTACATCAGTTTTACCCCTACGTAGAACAAAAAAAATGTGGACGCAAGGACTGTTAAATGTAAACATTGCAATGGTTTTGAGTAATGCTCAAATATCTGCATTTGAATGCTGCCAGCACTAATGTAAAAGCAGCATCAATAATAGTTGAATAACTGTTGACCTGCTTAACTGATGTAGTTTCAAATTAAAGTTTTGTAAAGCACTTTGACTAGTCATTACCTGTGATGCTAGTTATGTTAGTCTACAGCTTAACTCGGCAGTTATTAATGATGAAATGAAGCTGAGGGAGGGGGAAACAAACAACCACACGCACTCCCTGCACCAGAATGGGCTCTTTCAGCTAAAAGCAGACAATTGGAAACATTGTGTGAAGATCAGGAGAGGACCAAGTTTTGTTTCTATTCTACAGGGATTGTAAAAATAAAACCAATTACTGTAACAGGCCAAAGAAAACCACTCCTCAATGCTTACCTTTACATGGCAGTGAATGGGAATAATATATTGATTGTATTTAAGGCTCAAGTCTTCTGGAATTTCTGTACCATTATCTGGAGGCTAAGAGAAAGGAAATTCAGTTGATTATACACATGTAATGTTAATTGCATTTTCATGTTCAATTCATATTTAAATTTGAATTTGCACATAACAGTATTCAAAATAAATTTGGCATTCAAGAATAAAGGAGTACTTTGCTGTTTGATTTATGATTACTCTCACAGGAATTTCTATGTGTAGGTGGCATACATTGAGCTTTCTATTTTCAATACTCAAGCATGATTACGAGTGTCCATGCTTGTCAGACACTTTAGCCGAGCAAAATAAATGTCATTTAAAGTACAGAAACTAATCTAGGGTGAGCTTCCCTCAAGCAAAACGTTTTGATCAAAATGGATTGGATATATCTTACAGTGACAGTTAGGGTTTTATTGAGGCGTATCGTGATTTGAGAAACTGACATTTGAATCCACAAAGCAAGGCAGTGACATACCACGTATTAAGAAAAAAAATTTAATATAACAGATCAGTAAATGCCAGGGTATTGATCGTTACAGGTCAGAGTGGGTTCACAAAATTAATGTTAGAATTTAGGACTGTATGGCTGAATACCTTTGGATAAATACCTTTGCTTAATTTTACCTAAAGCATAATGCAATTAATCAGTCTTCCAACATTATCATACATCAAACTACATTGTAGAGATGTTAACTATGAAATTATGACTAATTAAATTCAGTCAACATCTAAAAGTTTGAAGCAACATCAAACCAAGGCAAGGCACATCCTAACAGGGAAACTATGTTCCACAAAACGATTGATGAAGATTATACTTCTGGTTGTGCTCATTCCTCATCAAGGGCAGCCATGCAGGTCAGTCATGCTTGTGGCATACAAGACCTGGGTGCAAACAATTCGCCCTCATGGATCTGAGCTCCTGGGATGCAGAAAAAGCTATATTCGACTCATTTGCAAAGTCCAGGATCAAGCAGACGGTAGATCTTTGGCAAACCCATGAAGTGATGGTAGAGAGCCCACACTGATCTGTCGTTGAGCACACTGGAGGCAGAATGGGCTTCACAGCAGGCACATACATTTGCCAAAGCTCACATGAGGAAATGGACTTAGCAGCTGGTGCTCAGTAAGCCTGATAAACAGCATTAGACTTGGACCTCAAGACCAACAAGGTGTCCTGTTAAGGGTCTCCCACCATGCTGAAGGCAGATGTCTGTCAGATAACTGATGAGGAAACACTGAGGCTTGGGGCAACAACCGTTGGAAGGTATTAACTAGAGTGTGCGTTCATGAACACACTTCCATGTAGCCAGCACTTGGAATCCACCTTGATGGTTTCCAGAAAGCTAAACTTGGAAGAGCAGATCAGTTGTTGGGGCCAGACCACTGTTAAGGCTTTGCTGGGTTATACTTTCCGGTCCTGTCAACCCTGCAAGGCAAAGCCCTAACAGTAGAGTGGTCCTAGCTGAACAAGCTTGCCAGACAGGGCTTTCAATGGCAGGCTATGCAGTTTTAGCTCCAGCAGTTCACCAAGCCTTTCCTCTTGCCAACCTGCACTTAATACTCTCCGGTATTAGGTAAACAGTGTGCGTCCCTCCAGGGAGACCGTTCACATTCTATTCGGATAAACATCTCTGGAATTTCCATGTATAGATGGGATTCATAGAATTCTCTTGGTTTGAATACTCTTCAGGGTGGTGCTGGGTTTCTGAACGAGTCAGACAACCAGTTGGCCACCCACACAAAAAAAACAACCAAACTCTAATGATAATCCTTGCATTTTAAATAAGAGCCTATAACTGTAAAATCTCAAAACACTTCATGTTACTGCCATTGTCGGTACTGAAATTAATAAGCATTAAAAAATTAAAATAGTCACCCAGGCCTCAAGACCCTCCTCTTCGACCATTGGCCAACCCCCTTCCCCTCCCTTCTCTTCCTTCCCCCCCACCCCCGACTCCAGCTCGGGTTTGAAACACTGTACACTATCCAGTGCCTTGAGATGTTCTCCCGACGTGAAAGGCGCTATATAAATGTAATGTTGTTGTTGTGGGTCTCAAGTTAGCCATCCCTGAATAAGAGGATGATGGGCCAAATCAGTGGGAGCCACTCCTTTCTCTTTTTCAAGATCATAGAATCTTTAACATCCACCTAAATAGGTAGATGGGCAATTGGGACAGCTTGAATTAGAATTCAGAATGACTGTGAACTCAAAGTCAAAACATGGGGCTTGAACCTACAAACTTCTGTAGAGGCGAGTGCGATAAACTGAGTTAATCAGATATGCTATAAACTTTAAGGATTCTCACCTGAGGGAGAAACTTAAAAATCCTGTTCAGTTTTGCAATGATGCACGGCTTCCCAGTTGAATAGCCATAAGTTGTATCATCAATTCCAGAACAGTTAGCAAGCCAACGACGGTCAAACTTGCATGCTCCCTTCTGGCCATTCGATTCATCAAAATTTCCTCTCTGTGTATACGTTAGAGGAATTTCTGTAAGGTAAAATTTATTTTGAAGGTCAGTACAAATATTTCCAACAAGCAAGAGTACAATTAAAATCAAAACTGGGGAAGGCTGTATAATAAGTTGAGTATTTCATTTCAATTACAGAAATTTAAGATATGTTCATTCTCACTTGAATTTTTCCACAATTAGCTATTCTTGCTGACAGACAAGGGTACTCCGGTAGAAGTTTCTATCAAGAGGTCTCTGGAATCCAACTGCGAATAGGATAACCCTTGTGACCAACACCACAATCCCCTCCCTCCCATAGTTGGCTCCAGAAATAACTAGTCAAACCAGTCTTCAACAATCTCTCCAGGGACTGGGCCAAAGTGGCCTTTAGACAAGTGTGGCCTCTGAGTAAGGGTTCATTGGTGTGTGAAATTTCTAAGTGTATAGAAAAACACAGTGCACATAAGAAGCCATAAATCTGAGACAGTCAAAATGTCCACAAAAAATTCAACTCAAGCACAAGTTAAAACACGTATGCTGAATGGAGGTAGGTGGTTGCTTGACCTGGCTTAACTTTATATGGAAAATAATGTATGCAAATATTACCAATGCTTTTGGTGGGCAAGTTCAGTTTCACCGATTAACTCAATTTATAGTAGAAACTATTATCCTAATTGATCATCCATATATGTACTGGAAATACACAAATTAAGTTTTGAGTGATGCAGATGTGAAATTTTGCAACTGGCACATACTACTGCACATGTAATGCACTGATGTAATGCACTGATGTAATACATGAATCTACCTCAAGTCTTCTTCACTCTTTGAATATGCCATAGCCTCCTCACATAGGCCTAATTGTGCACCAGGACTCAGTGGAGAGGCACCCTTTACAAATTGTCTAATCTGTAAACAAATTGGCATTTTTCTTTAATACTGTATAAATGCCACCAAGCTGCCTTTCTGAGAACAGTGTGCAGTGTAAGTGTTTACACGCAACTTGAGATTCCAATTATTTAATCTCCAAATTTATTCTCTTGAGTGTTCTGATGAAGGGTCGTGGACCCAAAACATTGACTCACTTTCCTTTCTCCATAGATGCTGCCTGATCTGCTGAGTGTTCCCAGTGACCTCTGTTTTTGTTTCAGATTTCCAACATCTGCAGTATTTTGCATTTTGTTTATACTCCCAAGGATTGTGTTCATCTGGCACAGCGGTAGCGCTCTTGCCTCCTTGTCAGAAGGTTGTGCGTTCAAGCCTCTCGTCAGGACTTGGAATCACATATTCTAAGGTGACACTCCAATGCAGTGCTGGGGGTGCGTTGCATTATCAGGAGGTACTGTCCTTCAGATGAGACGTTAAACCGAGATCCCATCTGCCTGTTCAGGTGGATGTTAAAAGATCCCATGGCATTATTTGAAAAAAGGAGAGTTTCTCCCAGTGTCCTGGCCAACAATCATTCAATAAAAAAATTTCATTCATTTAATAGTTTGTGAAACATTGCTGTGCACAGGTTGACTGCTAAATTGCCAACAAAATACAGTCACTACACTTTACAATAAAATTATGTGAGGCACATTGAGACTTCCTACCGATATGAAAAGCGCTATATCAAACGCAAGGATTATTAAAAATATCTTCTCTGTTCATTACCTGCATTGGTCATTACATGAACTGAAAGGAAAACTAATTGGAACCTAAAGACCTCTGCTGAAGGGTCATGAACACCTGTGTAAATCCTGAGGGGAACTGTCAATTTTGCTGACACGTTTCCCCTCAGGATTTGCATGGCCATGCAAGAACATGTGAAAAATTCAACGGTTGTTCAGATATAATTAATATTACCCTCCCAGAGTTCCAATTTCAGGACCCAAAGACTGATTAATAATTCATTTCAATGACATTCTGTAAAACTAGCAGTGTTGACAGGATATATAATTTGTTAGGTTGGTATACATAAAGGGGAGCACATTACCTAGCTCTTAATTGAATACCCCACTCCAAGTAGAGGCAAGAAATTGACTTGGCAGAGGACTTAACCCCTTCAGGATCAATTGATGTTAATTTTCAAATTTGAGTGAAGTGGATAAAACAGGGTGTCAAGAAATCAAGCGGCACTAATCACCAGTTTCTCGAAAAGAACAATCATTCTCAAATGTCCCAAATTACACTTCATTCTTAATGGAAGCACGATGTTTCATCCCAACCCTCAATTTACAATACTACTTGTAATCCCACAGGTATTCACAGTATGCAGTGAGGCTAAGGAAAGCTAGGCTAGATCTATAAATAACTAAAGAAGCTGGAAGGAAAAAACAAGGCCATGGAGGCAACACCAAATATACTTGACATTTCAAAGAAGGATGTTCTCATCTGAAGAATTATCCAAGGTAATTCTAGCTGCCATAATCTGGTCTATCATTCCCTGAGCTCTCTGGATTCTGAAGATTCAAAGTCCCTCAGCTGCAGCTAATGGTAGCCAAAGAAGTCATTGACAAAACAAGAAATGGTGTGGACCTAAATGCAAGTTGAGCCAGAAAAACATCAAAGACTGCAGCAGACTTCCAATCAAAATGTCAGGCTGCTGAGTTTTATTAGGACCCAATGGTCTATTTCTCCTCCTATCAACATTTTACTACCCACTTCAACTAAAACCTACACTAGATGACGATAACCTTGAAATAACCATTTCAAGCCTAGTGGCCATGCACAGCAAAAACATACCTCCGCAGGTCTCAAACAAAGATTTTTCTTCTTGTTTCTCTAAAGAATACTCTGAGAGGAGGTTGTCCAAATGTTTCACAAATACTTCATAAGATTTCTGTACCGATGGTTGAAATTTAAGCTCGGTCTTAATTGTAATCGGTGAAGTTGAGAGTCCTAGGGAGGGGGAAGAAATGAGGTGAAGAGTTGGATTTAGAAAATTGTATACAAGTTATTAAATACAAAAATCAATTCTACTTGACTTCTCTATTACAAAAATTAATAAATAACTGAAATTTACCTAAACAGTCAACCTAACTGAATTCCAGGAATTTAGGCTATTTCCACACAAGGGCCTTTAGTAATGGAATTCATAACTAATCCACTTTATGAAATTAAACAACAACTTGGATATACATAGCGTCCTCCATGCCAGACGGCGTCTCAGAGCGCTTTACAGTTCCGGACGACGGGACCAAGCCGGGGGGGGGGGGGGGGGGGGTAAGGTGACTGAAGGCACGGTCGAAAAGAAAGAACTTCAGCAGAGACCTGAAAATGGGAAGGGAGGGAGCGAGACGAAGGGAGTGAGGAAGGCAGTTCCAGAGCCTCAGGGCATAGTGGCTGAAGGCACGGCCGCACAATAAACCTATTGTGTTCTAACATTAATAACTGATGTTACTTACTGATCAAACCATTTTTTCTGCCTGTAGCAGATATTTTTCTCGTCACTTTTATTTCATGAAAATACAATTTAGAGTGTCCCCAATTGCAATGAATTATACTCAAATTTCAAACGGTGATAGCTTTTTTTATAAAATACAAATACACAATAAAAGATGGGAACATAAATACAAATGTATCACTTAGCCACAAATGGGTTGATCAAGCAGCATCTTTATTACTCTAGCTATCAAGTGTAATTTCAAAGAAAATCTGCAACAAGATATGCCGATTACAAATGATACCGTACATGCCCAGAACTTACAAATAGCAACCGGTACCCAACATCTGAATGATTAATGCAGTTTAGAACATCCTCACTTGCCTGTTAATTTTAAGTGCAGTTGAATGCTTTCATTATTATAAAAAATGTCACCTCTACATCAAAAAAATTAGCGTGATGAAGTGTCAATTCCATACAACTTTTGTAATAATCTATTTACTCTTCACTGTTAAAGGAATCTATATTTCTATACAAAACTAGACTCCAATGGCAGGCACTGCATGTGCGCACTAATTGGTGACCTTCATGGTTGTTTCAGCGAGTACATCTGCATTGGTGCGAGCTGAGTGACACGCAAGCTTTTCCATTGCACTATTCTCAGCAACACTGGATGACAGGCAGCTTCAGTACAAAGCAATTTATCCTATTAAAGGCATACCACCGCACATCAGTCACTCAACCTCCAGAATCAAACAGAAGCTTTACAATACATTGAACTGAAAAATAGAAATACCTGGAGGCGCAACGCGGTCTTGATATTTGGGTTCAAATTCACTGATGGTGAGCAACAATACTTGAATGGTTCCGATGAAGATAGCAGCAAGAAAGCCATAAAAGACCAAGTAGAACACGAGGATCTTGACTACAGAAGGAAACAAACAACCAACTGGATGTTACTTTTATGTTTAAATAATATGTTAAAAATGAATCATTAAAAGCACAAAAATCATTTGCAGCAAAAATGAATAAAAACAGAGTGTTGAAGATATGAATTTATGGCGCTGGTCGAATGGAACTACATTTGACTATTAGACTACACCTTACTGTAAATATAATAATAATCAATAATCCTTGCATTTGATATAGTGCTTTTCACATCAGGAGGACATCCCAAAGCGCTTCACAGAACACACTGTAAAGTGAATTGACTGTATATTTGTGGGCGAACGCGGCAGCCAATTGCGCACAGCAATGTCCCACAAACAGTCGTAGATTGAAAATGACCAATTTAATTATTGTTTTTGGAGGGATTATTATTAGGCTCTGTGTGGAGTAAGGAAACTTGCCCAAGGTTTCGCCCTGACCTGCCGGGAATTGAACTCAGGTCTCTCGCTTGCAAAGCGAGTGCTCTAACCACTGAGCTACAGGACTCCACTAATGTATGTAAGGGATGGCCACTCCAATATGGCCACCCCTTACATATTGCATACAATGTTAAGGGAATACAACAATTTTAAAGGGAATCTGGAGAGGCAGCAGTTACATTGAACGTGAGTGGATCTCTCATGCCCCACTCGCAAATTCCATGCCAGGCATCTAAAGGGTTAAATTCACTGAACTATTTTTCCAGCAGCGAGGACCAATTGACACTGACGTAAGAACCCATTGGAAAATTCCGTTCCAACGACAGGGAAGAGGGAGTGTTCACTCGAGGAACAAAGATACGTAATAAACTACTCTCTTGCGACAGGTTATGCAATGTCTTTTGTAAAGCGGGTGGGGGGGGCGGGGGGGGGGGGGGAGAGAAAAAATAGCTCACTGCAAGGCGAAAACCCAGTGGGGCGGGCGTGTGCCGAGCTTTTGCAGAATACTGTTTTAAGAAGAGAGCGCTGGAGCTGGCGATAAAAGCAAACAACATGCACATAGAATGCGACACCCCACCCCACACCACACCACACACACACACACACACACACACCCCAATCGGGTACTTTTAATAACCACATCCTCGAAAAAAATATATGCCTGGGTAATTGATGGATTTGATTTCAAATATTCCAATGGCTGAGTGAAGCCCATAAGATCTAACCCTGAGCACAAATGCAAAATGTGAAGCTGAGCTCTCTGTGGGCACCATACACGACAGCACCGTTTTATTCGACTTGAATGAGATGCAAGCAACCCTTTTCCTTTGCTCTGGCTGCCTGCCACTCGCTCCCTTTCTCTCCGTCGCCGATATTAAAACAAAACAGCTTTCTCTGCTTCCCCTTCCTTTGGTTTTTCTTTTTTTTTAAAAAAATAATAAAAGAATTTAAAAAACCTCTGCAACCAGTTCCTTCCTCAAGTCCACCCCCCACCCCCCGACCCCCTTCCATCCTACTCACATTCGTATACAAAGGTCGTATTAAAACCTCACATTTAAATAAAAAGAAAAACCACCCGCTGCCATTCTCTGCCACGCAAAGCGATGACAAAAGTGGGTCCGGGTGATGGACGATGCCGCACGCCACATATCGGACCACCTTGAATAACCTTGGCACTGCGGAAATTATGCGTTCAAAAACCTCTCCATTCCCCATCCCCCACCAACACCAACCAACCAACCCAACCAACCCAACCCCGCCCGTTTTGCTCCTCTCTCTCTCTCTCTCTTTTTCTATTACCACATCCATTTCAGGGCCATCTCTCTCTCTCTTTCTCTCTACTCTTTCTCAACTCACTCACGAGTTACCGAGGACTGTTTGAACAAAAATGTGTGTACACACACACTCACACCCGAGATTGGTTTTAAAAAAACACAACCCCCCCCCACCACCACACACCACCCCCACCCCCCCCCCCCCCCCCCCCCCCCCCCCCACCCACACACACACACTCTCCCCCCCCCCCCACCCACACACACACTCCCCCCCCACCCTCAGGCAAAGGAAAAAGCAATGGCAATATATCCAACCCCCGACACAGCACGATAACGGCGTCCTTCACCGTGACCTTTCAATTATTTACACTATTTATGAGGCGGATGTGTGGAAAGGGGAAGGGTGGGGGGGGGGAAAAAACCTATTGGCGAGAGGAGCGGCTCCATCAAACTCGAGCACATTTTTACAGGAAGGCGGAAGCCCCAGTGGTGCCATTTATCCGCCGCTCCTCACGATCGCTCTCCTCCGTGCACCATTTTAGGAACAAGTTTCTTTTTCACTGGCGTTAAAAAAGGGTCTCTCTCTCTCTCTCCCCTTCCTTTTTTTAAAAAAAAACAATCAAGCCTTCCTGATCGAAATATACCTCTTTTTTTAAAAAAAAACAACCCCCCACACCCCACCCACACACACACACACCCCACACACAAACCATCAGTCCAAAAGCATATCAGATCGTCGGCTCTCGGTGGGGAGGGGGGGAGTGAGAGAGAGAATATCCGATCCCCAGCTCTGCGAGTGTGTGTTGGTTTATTCTCGCATTAAAATACACACTCAGGGAAAGTACAGCATCTTCTACTGAAATACACGACACATACACACACCGCTGAGAAGAGGTGGTGGAGAGGGGAGAGGGAGAGAGAGGGGAGAGAGAGAGAGAGAGAGAGAGGGAGAAGAGAGAAAGACACACGAATCGCCGGGTTTACAAAGAGGGAAGAAGGGGGGGGGGGGGGGGGGGTTTAAAAAAAAACATGTACACACACATGCATACAGAGAGAGAGAGAGAGAGAAAATATATATATAAAAGACACGATCACTTACACCAGCTGCTCCCGGTCCTGCCCAAAACCTCCCCTTTCTCCGAATTCCAGATGAATTTCTTCCAGCCTCCCTCGCCATCCTTGGACTTGCCTCGTGCCATGGTTTAGTGTGGGTGGGTGGGTGGGTGGATGAATAGAAGATGGAGGGAGAGGGGGGAAGAGAGAGAAAGAGAGAGAGAGAGAGAGGTGGTGGTGGGGTGGGGTGTGTGGGGTGGGGGAGGAATGTAAACGATTGGGTGGGTGGGTGGGGGGGGAGGAATCCGCTGACTTTTTTCACAAAAATTAAAGGAAAAGTGTAGGAAGAAGGATGGGTGGTTTTCCTGGCGGTTTGCGAGCAGCACTTCGGGTCGGGTCGGATCGGGTCTGGTCTCTGGTCCGGTCGGGGCTGGTCTGCCCTCCGGGCTCGCGCTCTCTGCTCTTCTTGGGCGTCGGTTAATTCGTCGACGGTTTAAAAAGCCGCTCGCGAGCTGCGCGGACGTTGGCGCGTGGAGCGGGGACCGTTGGTCGGGGTGAGGCGGGAGGTGAGGGCTCCTCTCGCACCACAGCAGAGCGAGAGAGCGGGAGAGAGAGAGAGAGAGAGAGAGAGGGAGGGAGAGAGAGAGAGAGAGAACTCTTTCCTACTCACTTTCCACCCCTTTATTCCTCTGTTGGGAGGTGGGGAGGGGGTGAGAAAGGAGGGTTAAAAAGGAAGAGGAGGAGGGATAAAAGAGGGAGGACGGGGACGGGGACGGGGGGGGCAGAGAGAAAAAAAAGCGTGAGAGGAAGAGGAGGGAAGAAGCAGAGGGGGAGGAGGGGAGAAAAAAAAAAGGCACCGCTGGTCCGCAGGAGGAGCAGGTGTGTGGCGTCTTGAAGAGGGGGGAAAAGAGAGACACACACACACACACTAACAGAGAGAGAGAGAGAGAGAGAGAGCACAGCGACTCGCTGCCGGCGTCCGGCAGGCACTGTAAAAAAGATAAGGTTTTTACCGGCTCGGGATTTTATCGGCTCGAACCCCGCCTCTGCTCGTTAACCGGCCGCTCGGAGTGGGAGGCGCCGCGCCGGCCCAATGAGCGAGTGGCAGCCGAGCGCCTGACGTGAGAGGGAGGGGAGGGAGGGAGGGAGGAGGAGGAGGAGGGAGGGAAGGAGAGGAGAGGAGGGGAAGCACTCAGGGCCGCCCTTAGCACCAATGAGTGACACCTCCTCTTGACTCCCGATTCCTCCCACCACCCATAACCCTCACCAGCAAACCGCACCCACACACACACCTACACACACACACACACACACATCTTCCACCCTCGCTCGCTCGCTCGCTCGCTGGGGGCACCGAGGAAGGGAGGGAGGGTCGAGAGGGAGGAAGGGAGGGAGGGTCGAGAGGGAGGGAGGGAGGATGGCGCGGTGTAAGCCGCAGCCGCTCGTGATTGCGTTAACTCAGCAGCGGTGACATTTCGACATAGTGCTGATTTACTGCATTCCCCCCCCCACCCCTCACCCCCTCACCACCCACTCCTCTCTTCCTCTCTCACACTCTCTCTCTCTGTACTTTCCTCCCCCCCCCCACCGCCCCCACCGCCACACATACCCTTTTCACGCGATGACTTTTGGTGGTGGTGGGGTTGGTGGGGGTGACCCGAGAGAACCCGTTTCGCATTTTTAAACTCGGGTGATTTTTTTTTTCCAAAACTCGACGAGAAGGGGTCGAAAGGGTCATTTGGTGACTGCAAAAACCACCCGAGTCCATTTTTAACGTGTCGGCACACACACACGAGCATTGTATGTACTGTACACATGTATTTTAAACATGGCTGTAGTAAGCCGTGCCGCAGCACTGTGCATGTCAGGACTGTATTTCGATCTTACAATATCCCAGTTACTCGGATGCTGAGGTCTCTTTTATTTCCAGTTGCACAAACGTGTCATGCAAATGTTTTTTTTAAAAAAAACGCTTTTCATGTTGGGGGGGGTGGGTGTGTGTGTGTGGGGGGGGGGGGGGGGGTGGACAGGTTGCTAGTGAGTACAGGTACCGTAGATTCTTATTAAAAGCCACGCAAATGCTGGTCTAGATTATTCCGTCTAATTATTTTAAGCTTACGTCTAAATTGCAAACCCAGATCGTTTCCCCCTCCTGGTTCACTGTGCGCCGGCACACGCTTTGGACGTCCTATTATTTGAAACGAAAAAGAGCGGTGCAAGACAGGAAGGCAGTAACGTGCGGCTCTTTTTTTTTAAAAAAAAACAAAAAACGAAACTCAACACATTTGCTCAGGTGCCCGGGACCTTCCACGACAGCCGTCCGTGTCAGCGCTTCATCGCTCTCAGTGCAGCTCTCTTTGCGGCTCTCGAATTATTCTTTCAGAGATAAAGGTGAGCGTCTCGCGTGAGAAGGGGAAGGGGAGACGCTCGCGTTGCGTGCGGTGGTGCAGTTCTGTCTGCGGATTTCTTGCCCTTTCGTGTTTGCCCTTCAAGAAAGTACAGACCCACAAAGCACGTGATCAGACGCTGCCTCCAGGAATAAAAAAAAATCCCACCCAAAGCGAATTACTGTCCCTGTCGGATCCTATCTGTGCTCTGCTCCCGGGTTCCACCAAACGGTTAATATTAAGTGTGGGTCGGTTCAACGTCGCCTTTTCGCTCGTTTCAATGCGATGCGGCACCGACTGCACATGTTGGAATTTCCGATGTGGCTTTAAAACATTGAGCGTTTAAGATTTATTCATTTATACCTCCGTTTTATAACATTTCCACCTTCACACTGAGATAATAAGCACAGTCTGGTACAGACGTTTCTGCAGCTGACAGTGGTGGAGGTAAAATGCTGTATTGGCCAACAGGGGTGGTACTGCAATGGTGCAGCAGAAACTCTTGACTGATTTTCTTTCTGGAGGTGAAACCACAACATGGTGCTTCATTCAGAATCGTCCAAACATCCCTGGATTCTGGTACCAGTAGGTAATTTTATAATAATAATAATAATAATAATCCTTGCGTTTGACTTAGCGCCCTATCGCGTCTTCGAGACGCCTCAAAGCGCTTCACAGAATATTCTGCCAAGTTAATTGACTGTATATTTTGTGGGCAAGAGTGGTGTTTTCTTGAAGTCAGAATATCGGGGATATCATTCATGTTTTCTCGCTGTAGGTCAGCTAGAGGCGCCTGTCACATGCAGAAACCCATCACAATGCATTAAGAGTATCGAAACCAGACTGAGAGTGCTGCATATGTATGCCACCTACACCTGTGTCTTGAATGCAATGTGCACTCCCTTCCTGGAGGGGCATACCCTGCTAACCAGATTCTGGAGGGTATTGGGTAGAGGGGACCCTGGTTGCAGAGAGAAAGAGTATGTTCTTGATAAATGATGTCAAATCGAGGTGCAAATATAGATCTTTGAAGGTGGGAATTCATGTAGAAAAGGCCATAAAAAAAAACGCAAATGGGGATCTGAGTTTTATTGAAACTGTTTGTGTGTGTGTGTTTATTGTACTCCAAAATATGAAAATAGTTTGAATTTATACAAGATGTTAGCTAGGTCACTGTTGGAGTACTGAGTGTTCCATTATAAACATTACATTAGAGCCACGGAAAGAGTACAAAATAGGTTCGCAAGGATAATACCAGGGAAGAGGAGTTATAGTTACAATAATAGGCTTGAAACATTGAGGCTATTTTGACTAGGGCAAAGAAACTTAAGTGGGAATTTAGTAAAGGCCTTCAAAATTCTGAAAGGTTTTCGTTTTAATTGGTTAAATGGCAAAAGATGAATCTCGCTGTTGGTAACTCAGTATCTAGGGGGTTTACATTGAAGAGACTTCTGGAAGAATTAAAGCAAACTTAGATAACTTTTTTCCGCAGATAATTGTCCACAGATAGCTCGAATTATATCAATATTTGAATTGGAATGACCTGTTTGTTGTCTGACAGCGATTAACATAGATAAAATATTCTCACTAAATTTACTGAGAAGGATTCTCCTACCAGCATACTGATATTTTAACTGTGGCTCGCTCCAATAAGGGAGGAATCTCTGCTTTAGCTGTAGGAGATTTTACAGATTACTTCACTGAAGCAATGATGCATAACTTTGGAGTAGTACCAATGTATATTGCCCTGGAAAATTCTGCTTCATCAGCTTTCTCTGTTGTACCACTTGGCATCACCTTCAGAATTGCAATAGAAGCCATAAGAAATATCCTTGACTATTTTGTGAGCATGTGAAAGTCAGAAGACTTCAAGTGCCACCAAAAGACGTTCAAGGATATCTTTAGTTCAGCACCCAAAGGGAAAAACACTCCTTGTTGGTCAGGTCGTATTGTTTACAGGTTCCAGCAATACCTTAATAGCTGAGGCTCATAGATATTGTACCAGTGACCACATCAGTGCAGATGTTAAATTATTTATTCAGAACCATCAACTGTCCACTTAACTGTACAACGTCTGAAAGTTATTGAGTCTTAATACAAAGATCTGCTGCTGGCTGTAGTAAACACATTAATTGAATATTAACCTTCAACAAACAAAAAGCATAACATCTTAGGGTAAAAGTTTCATCTCGGAAGATTTCTTTTTTGAAGGGTATGATTTTTATTGACTTACCTGCACCTTGGGACATCCTCCTGATATGAAAGGAGCTATTTAGATGTAAATTTATATTGTTGTACCTTCAACATCTGGTCAACTTGTGACTCAGGTTAACTTCTATTTTTGTAAATGTGGAGGCAATGCAATCTCCCATGACCTTCTTCTCACAGGTTTGCTGTGGAATCTGTACATAGGTGTCTCATTTTAGCTTCCCTTAATACCTAAAAGGTACAGTATCAAGAAGCAAAAAAAGCAAAGAAGCGAAGGTAGCCGAAAGTTGAAACGTTGGAAACAAATTGACAAAAGGCAACAATGTCATCTTTGGTAGATGGGATATTGTTAGTTGGGTCAGGTACTGCGCCTCCCTTTTTGTAAGGAAGGACCATCCCTTTTCCAATTTGTAGCTACTATTTCCTCATCAGTCTCTGCAATGTGTGAAGGATGCTGAATGAAGAAACAAAAGACTACAATTTTATTCTTCATATATAGCATTCTCCACGTACACACATTCTGTCTCTATAGGGGTGGGAATAGGAATCACCAAACAGTTGATGTTTCGTGAACAGTGAGGGGACGGGGAGTTCAGTGGGTGGGAACCCATCAGAAATGTCTCAAAGCTGTTCATAGAGTTTTGTCTGTAAAGTGTAGAGTATTGACTATGTATTTGTATGCGAACAACTTGGACTAGAACCAGGCGACATGAAAGGCGCTATACAAATGTAATGTTGTATTGTAGCCACTACAGTATTTCTTTTAATACCCTTGCATGACTAGTACCACTGAAACGTACCCATAATGGATAGACAAGGGCAAAACGTTAGCTGAGCACGTGTTCAAATTTGGACTGCCACAGGTGAGTCTTCACACTTCTGCAGTATAATGGCCATAACAAACTTACGAGTATGTGTTTATTGTGGTTTTAGCACACCTGCAACCATTTTGGCATAAGGTAAATCTGAGTGGTAGAAACAGGCTCTGATCTAACATATACATGCAATATGTCCTAAAATGGGAGTTATTTATGGACATGAGCAGGTGCTAAAAAAAAACTGATTGTGGAAACCTGGAGAAGAAGGTGTTCTTGAATGGTCATCAGGCAACATTTTTATCAGGCTTAAAACCCATATAACTATTGACACTCTACAAGTATTAATTTCATCTTAAGATAAATTAATCTTTAAAGCTAACATCGAGAGACAAAATTGGTGAACAAAAAAGGCCACTTACATTTTGACATAAGCATATACCAAAGGGCAAAGATAAATAAACATATCTAGCATATACAGATTAATATGGTTTTGTTTTTATACAAATGGAAAATATGGGTTGTACCTATTCAGTTTCTTGTTTCTTATTTGTTTTGTTTTCTTGTGTTGATAACTA